GTGAGTCTGTGGTGATGAATTGCTCAAATGAGCAATCAGTTTCTTGGGTCAGTTTCTTTGAGCTAGGTGAGCATGTCATTGCTAGGCACAGGGAAAACCTCTTTAGAAAAACTAGATTTCTGTAATTTGGAAATGGCTGGACCAGCTTTCCATTTGCTTTCATAAAGAACTCAACTTCATGCTGAATCCAAGAACTGAAAACCTCTCCAAAGGCACTTTGTGATTCATGTGCTGCTGACAACTGGGAATTGAAGTGGGAGCTGTATTTGGCTTCAGCTCTTCTGCTACTGTGTGTGCTCTGTTGCTGTTAACAATTTGTATACATGTGGTGCAACTCTAGACAGGTGTATGATGTGCATATTCAGATTATCTGTGCATGTACATACTTAAATTCAAGAAACATGTATGCAAAATTTGTTAAAAGCAAGAGACTTTTGATAGTAGCAACAGCTATGATATGTGTGTACGTGTGTTTGCTTGGAAAAGAAACCCAACCAAAGACCTATCTGCAGTGGTTGGCTGACCTCCCTGTATGACTCTTTCTACTTCTGTAGTTACTCATTCTCTTTGTTAACATTGGGTTTTTTTATGCAGAGGCTAGAATGTTGTGGAAAAATACCTGCAAGCACAATTCCTAACCATTTGTCATGGCTTCACTTTGGGGTTTAGATCAGACACATCTAAATCCTGCTCTGTAGTTATGTGCTCCACGTTCTCACGATGGTCGTCTTCCAGATCTGCGGGTCTGGAACGTGACTGGTGTGCACTGGGTTTTTTTGCTGAACTGCACCGGGTTTGGGACTGTTACAAATGAGTTTTGTCATGCATCGTGTTTATGGTCATGGGGGAAATGGGGGGAAGCTACAGGTGGAGGCGTTGCTGTGGGGCTTGCACTGTATCTGTTGTGCATTCATATACAGCATCATTTCCCTGTCACTATGAAACACCTTTACTGGTAGCGGTCACACGCATCCCCTTTGGATTGTGGCATTTTCTGTCTCTGGTTAAATGTGTGTTAATCCTGTGGGTGTTGCCATTCCTTCTACTTGCAGCTTCTCGACGTCATTCCAGGTCCACTAGTGCTCTCTCCACTGCTGATTCTGTTGGGCAGTCAGGTGAACAAGCGCTAACTGCATGAATCCGCTTCTTATACGTAGTCTTGTTTTACACCATCTTAACATTTGCCGTCATGTGCATCAGCCAGCACTTGGCATGTGCTTCTCACTGCTGTGGGGCTTTCTGTTCTGTTTTGTTCAATGTGGCTTTTTGTTTTGAATTTCATTTATTGGATTTTTTTAAAAATTGTATGTATTTTAGGAACATTGTGAGTAGTGTTTAAACAAAGGGTGATCCAGGGCTTTCTCAATTTTCCTGTAAATTGGATCAGTTGTGCAGCATGGGCTAAATCCGGACTGATGCAGAGTAATTGCAACTTCTGTTTATATTTCCTCTTTAGCAGTGTAGCAGTTCCCGATGTCTAGGACCGGAACCCAGTGGGTTTCATCCCATTTATTACTAAATAGTCTGGACTCCTGTCTCTGTTAATGAAAGTGCTTTGCGGGATCCTCTCCAAAATACGCAAGAGCAGCAAGAATTAAGCACCTGATGTGCTTTCAAAATGAACTTTGGAGGATAACATGTGCTAATCCATTCTTCGTATAATTCTGAAGGCCTTGTCCAAAGTACATGGAAGTTGTTGAAAAAATGATTCCCTTAATTTCACTGGGCTTTGCATCAGAAGATTGATGCTTACATATAATGAGAAAAATCTGCAGATTCCAGTGGCTTCTTCCCCACCCCTGTGCTGGATTTGCAGTTGCAGAGAACCTGTAACTCCCTTTGCAGTCAGGATATTTCACTGGGAGTCTTAAAAAGAAATGAATGAGGGCTGCTAGCTTTGAGTCAATAGAAACTTAGTTGTGGAGACAAAGATGATGTCAAAGATGAATGAGGGCTTCCGTGTTTGCCTGGAGGCTAAAATTGCGTAAGGAATTAGTGATACTGAAAGTTATTTAATTAACCCCCTTCAGGTAGGGAGTGAAAAATATTCTGTTTGTCTTAAGTCTAATTAAATGGCTGTCACTTAGCTAAAACTCTCAAAACATTTCCCTTGTCGGGTTACTTGGCAGAAATGATGCAAGCTGATTTGACTCTTTGGCATTTTTCAAAGTAACAATCTGAATTTGTATTTAACAAAAATAATTGAAAAGATTTTAAAAAAGAAATCTCAATTGTAATACAGATTTAAGCTTTGTTTGCATTCAGCTTCCTGTGATAGTCACTTCACGCTTGGCTCCCGTGGTTTGGTACAAAGCATAACCATGTATATGGTTACCTGTGTCCTAAAGAATGCCAAAATCTCCCTAAAAATGGCAAAATTGGATCAAAAATGGTGGTTGGGAGTTTTCACCAAGTTTGTAACAAGTGTAATGAATCTAGCCAGGGAGACAAGGGAATGTGGCCAGAGCACACTCGGCTTATTTCTTGCCCAGTAACATTGGGCTTGCCTGTACTGGTTATTCCTGGAGCCAAATGTGTTCCCAGCCCCATGTTAGAGAGATGCCGAGGTCTCTCCTAAGGTCTAACTTCTGCACTCAGGTATGGCAACAGTGTCTTGGGGAGAAGCCCGGAGTGACTTGGGTGTTAGGAATTTAAAGATCACTGAAAGAAGTATTTTAGAAAATTCCTGATAGCCAAGGAGACAGATAAAAGCCAGCATGCCACACTGTACTTAATTTGTTAAAAAAGCTCCATTTTGTTTCTTTATGCTGGGTATTTAAACTGATCTACAAGTGAGTTACTTTGTCATTCTGTTCTTCATTTTGAAAAAAACAAACTATCTTCCCTTTTCTAATGTAATACTAAATTAATGTGAAAAGAAATGACAATGGTATTTTTTGATGCTATGTTATTTCAAAAGTTAAAGCCAAATTCTGATCTCAGTAATACTTGAGTAATGTCATTGCGTTGGGTTTAAATATAAAACTGAGTCCAAAACTTGTCTCAACATTTACAGCCCTTGTACTGTACCAGATATCATTTACACTTAAGAAATTACTTGTCTTCTGTACATCTTTGTAGTGTACATCTCTGTAGTAGTGACTTTAGTTTCAATCAGACCTAATGCATTATCATCTTCTCTGTGCTTCTATTAAGAGTGTACAGATCTTTCAATTTTAGGGATGAAGCAGTTTCACCTAAATATTTGAATTGATTCTTCAACCCAAGCGCATTAAAAAAGGGGATAGTAGTAACACATACAACTTTTATTTCTTTGTGAAATGTCATGATTTGATTACTTTTGGCAGTAGTTCTAAGAAGTTTGTTTATTTTTTTCCCTTGTAATGTGTTTTGTAGAAAATGTGCTTTTGTTGGAAATCAGAAATGTCTTGTCTGGGTATGTAACTCTGAGAAGCCGTACATTTTGATAGTTAACACTTCTATTTGAAATAAATACTAGTCTTCAGGTGTTTTTTTTTTTCTTGAAATACTTCAGATTTAAAAAATCTTCCCTATTTCCCCTCAGTAGCTTGATCTCTGACACACTCGGGTAAAGCTTTGGAATTAGGACAGTAGACTGGCAAACTTCAGTCTCTGATTTAAATTATGCATGTCAATGTGAGCTAATTCCTTAAAAGGTATTTCAGCACAGTAGGTTTTTAAAGAAGAAAGCAATGAAGTTTCGTGATAAGTGCAGTGTTTTTAGTTATGCATTTTGACAAACAGTATTTTCCATTCGTTAAATTAAATATAGATGAATTAATAAAAGACCTGTGAGACTTGATCCCTCTCTCTTGCTGCTTGATGACTGCCTCCAATGTGGAGCAGCTGAAGGTCTATTAAATGGGTTCATGCAGCTTGATTCGTGCACTTCTGAATTTGCTGGCAAAACTCTTATTGGCACGTGTGGGTGCAGGGGACAGAGCTGTAACATATGTCCCAGGAAGGGTGTTCCCAGTCCTTCTTGAGCAAAGACAAGCCCACGTGGAAACAAAAACTTGGAATGCCAAAAACAATCTCTTGCTGCTTATAGACCAGAGCCAGGATCCCATTTATACAATTATCTGATCTACCCCCATCTAGAAGGACTGTGCTGCCAGAGCCGGGCCTCTGATACTCAAGTCACTGATTCTGTCATACCCCTACTAGCATGGCTTTCTGAATTTGGCCTTTGCCCAAAGAAACTAATTTCAGTAACTTTTTTTGGTAGACTGGGCAAATTATAAAGTAAACTAACTAGTATTAGGAGTGTAAATGGCATTTCGGACTCAATCCTGTTGCTTTGGATGCCGTTGAGAGCTTTGCCATCAAATTCAAAGGGAGAAAGATCATATTGTTTGATCAAAAAAATCAGTTTTGATATATCATAGAGCTTTTAAATGGCGTTTAAACTACTTCTCAAGAACAGTAATAAAACAAAAATTGGAGTTGCTTCACAAGCAAATAATAAACCTTATTTTTATACTGTGGGGCGTAGAGGGATATTCTACTGGCTAATCAACCCTTGAGACATTAAATAGGTTAATCTGGTGTTGCTAGTCTCGCATCCTTGCCTGAGAAAAAGCTGCAGGATGGATGAGTGCTCGGGTATTAACATGTTCTGACGCTGGGCATGATTCTGTCTCTCTGAAGTTAATGAGAAGCTTTCTCTTGATTTCCGAGTGTGCCAGATTGGGACCGGCATGTCTGCCTCTGACATTAAAATAAAACTTTGAAACAACTTCTGCATAAAAAGAAACACAAAATAGATACCCTGCTTCCCAGCTTAAAAGAAATTAAAAAGTTGCCCTGAGGATCCAAAATTGTCTCTGGGGCCCAACAAACAATAGTTTGTTTCTTACTCTAATGGCAAACTCTCTAGAGCTGTGGATAAAAGTGTTTAATGGAAAAGCACTGCGAGTTCCCAGAGCCCGTGGGGAGAGCTGCTTGGACACCTGATTAGGATTCCAAGTGAATGTGAATTCATTTAACAATCCCTTTCAATGTTGTCTTTTGTGCAGACCGGTTTGGACTCGGACAGCCAGGCAGGATGCCTGCTTCTGTGAATGCCATGCGAGTCCTGAGCACAAGCACAGATCTGGAGGCTGCTGTGGCCGATGCACTGGTAAGAGGAAAAATACAAAATGCTTCCAACACCGGAAAGTGGCTTAAAGTTACCTGTACGTACGTTCTCCTCTTTCTAAATAGCTTTGTTCTGATTGTGCCAGTGTCTGATGCTGTAGAGTTAGTTACCTTTTGCTGTTTTGTGTTTGGGTATATGAGCAGCAATATTTATTTCCTTATTGCATGTTAGTTCTCCACAGTTGTTATCAAGCAGACTGCTGTGGCTCCCTGCTTGAGCTGCAGGATGGGTTGAATCAGGTGTTTGCCTTTCACTTGGCTGATAGAGGATGAATGTGGCGCTGTGGGGGTGCTCGGCACCTGTGGGGTCAGGGATTTCCATCAGTCCTGTAACCTGCATGAAGACTTTGTCAGAAAAACAGTGTTCTCTGTTAGTGTCGATTCCTGATCAGGTTTCAACAAGAACTGAGAATTTCACAAGTTCCTGCCCTGTGTTATTTGCACCTGGCTAGATACTCGGATCAGCTCATAATTTGGCTTGTCTGTAATCAGTACCATCTCATGCAGTTAAATTGAAGTGTATTTGTGTAGTGTGCTCCTTGTACTTTCTAAATATTCAGTGCATTTCCAAGTAAATTTATTGTCACATATTTGTCCTGTATAATCTTACTGTACTATAATATCTCTTGGGTAGAACCCAGAAAGTGTCTTCTGCTCTTCAGAAAACAAGTGTTAAGATAAGCCTTTGGATTTACCTTGGTTTTGGGGGAGAGAGGATGTGTAGAGGCAGGAGTAATTATTCTACAGCATTACTGGGTACCAGTGTACCTTGGGTCTTCTCTGGCTCTAGACCTGAGCTGAGGGGAGGATCTCCTGATGTGTCTGAGGCAGACATCTCAGATCTCTCTCTGAGAACGAACCGTGTCCCCAGAGTTTGAGATGTCCTTTCTCCATTTCCTAGTTCACTTTTCCTAAGGATGGCTAACATCATTTTCCTTTTTGTATTTGATTATTACCCAGCTCATGTCACCTCCATTTCTAGATGATTATTAGAGTACTCCTAGAGAAATGTCTTTTTCTTTTTTTTTTTTACAAAGTCTACCTTTCCATAAAAAATAGAAGTACTTGTGAACAATATAGAGGCAGGACAGTATATAATAGATGGCACTGTTGCATTTAGTGGGCTGAATTGTTAGTAGGCATTTTCATTATCAAATACAACAGCTTGTGAGGCAGTTTCTGCTGTTAGCACCTCAAATTTGCCACTAGAGTAGTTCAGGGCATAATTATAGGTGATGGTTTGCCTGCGTAAATGAAATCAGACTGTATCCCTGAATGTGAGCAGTTGCTGAATATGGGTTTCTTGAGGAAGGAGAGGTTAGCAGTGAATTCAAACACCACTGTGATCACTGAGATGTCTTTGGATATGACTTAATCTTCAGCTAGACTTACGGAGTTCCCTTTTAAATATTCCACTTTTATAAACTAAACATTATACTGGAATGCTAAAATCTTAGAGTTGAACACTTAAAAGGGAAGTGTGGCTGGAGACTAAGTAGTGCTACTGCCCGCGTTGTCAATCTGAATTTGGATGACTTTAGGGGATGCAACATGATCTTGTTGTCCCCTTCTTTCCCTCCACACCAATTTGCTCTTGGTTGTTTTCTGACAACAGACAATTTACAAACTCGGTTCAGGCTCCTTTTGAGAGAGTGTAGTGTGATGCCAGCTTTTACCCAGAAGCCTTGTTCTTGGATGAGTATTCTTTTCCCTGTAGTAGGAAATGAAAAGAACTTCTCCAAAGATGGCTTCAGCCAAATACTCAGTTTAAACAAAACACAGTGGGTCATTTTGTGACCTCTACTCCATGCATAAAATTCCTGTTGCATTCACTGCTTCTGTTAGAGAGCTGGACTTGGCCTAAACCCACAGTGTCTATACTGGGAATCAGTGCCCAGATCTGTCAGAAAAGCTCAAAGGGTGATGGAAACTTTGGCATTAAGTAGGGCCTTTAAGCCAGGGGTGCCAGCCAGGGGGTCTTAAAAGAAGCTAAGCTTCAAAAAAAGTGTGGTGTAAGAACTGTGGGTTGAAAGAGAACTTGGTTAAGTGAAGTTGATTAAATGTGCTGTACTATAGATAGTGGTTTCCTGACATCAGAATTTCTTTCCAAGACTCTAAAATCAAATGTTACTGATAATGTGTGGGGAAATAAATCACTACCAAAAAACTCTGGTATCTTCCAGAGCAGCGTTTCTGAAAAGTAAGCAAAGAGGTGCTGTATATAGATCTGTCATCAAAAACCTTATTAACAGATAATCTCACTTCCAAGCTTCCTAATGGACATGGCAGGGTATACGAGTAGTGCAGCAGTTAGGAGATAAAGCCAGGCGTTATTATACCCACTTTTATTTTGCATAAACTGTATTTTTTTTTATTTGCTAAGACACATTTGCTATACGTTTTTGTTGCAAAAACAAACCCTACATAAGCTTCTGACATAATTCTCTATGCTTTTTCCCACCCTTCAATATTTTCCTGCCTACAGCTGTTAGGAGACTCCAGGAGCAAGGTACTAGTGCTTTCTTGACTTTTTTATTTCTACTTTCCAACTTTCCCCACCCTGTTGCTAACACCCATGATACTGCACTTGAGTTAATTTCTATGCTTCAATCCTGCAGTCCTAGTGGAAGCAAATGTCTGCTGGCTTCACAAGTCCAAGAACTGCAGGACTGGACACTGGAAGGAATTCTGTAGCAAACACTTTAGAATCTAGGCGGTCTTCTGATACATTGTCTTATCCTGTTCTGTTAAGGTTCATTTAAGAGTTTGTTTTGCAGTATAGTATGCAATTTGTTTTGCTACCATAATTTTTCTAATATCCCTTCTAATATCAAGGTTGTCAAAGATGTACCTAAGGGAATTAGGTCCTCTAATGCCATGCTGTGGAAATGAGTGGGATTTGAGTACTCAACTCCCTTAGGAGCCTCTGGAAAAATCCTAGCCCAAACTAACAGAGAAATTGTCATGTCCTATATCCCAGTGCATTTCTAGAGTCACTTCATTATCAGTATCAAAGTGACTGTGCATGCCAGCACAGATTCCTTCAGCTCTTCCTTCCTTACCTTTTTTTTTCCTTGAAGTAGAGGTTGTATCATCATAGAATCTGTAACAGTGGAACTGGCCATTATTGACAATAAAACAACATGATTTCATTACCAGTAGCTAATTACACTGGGCATAAGTATCTCGCTTTCGTGCTGGGGAAGGCAGGCCCTGCTCCCATTAGTCACTTGAATATTCTCATTGAAATCAATAGGATCTGTCTTGCTCTACTGCGAGAGGTAAGCAGGCAGTGCTCGGTGACGTCTTTAAATGCTTATGTCACTAGAACAATAGCAATAATCTTCCTTTTTAGTGATTACGGATAGAATGTTTTTCTTTTGGTATTGATGTAACCATATATAACTTACTAAGTCTGAGTTTCCCCTTTTCCAGAAAAAGCCAGTGCGAAGAAGATATGAACCCTATGGGATGTACTCCGATGACGATGCTAACAGCGATGCATCAAGCGCTTGCTCAGAGCGCTCCTATGGTTCCAGGAATGGGGGCATTCCACACTACCTGCGGCAGACTGAAGATGTGGCCGAGGTCCTGAACCACTGCGCCAGCTCCAACTGGTCTGAAAGGAAAGAGGGGCTCATAGGTCTTCAGAACTTACTGAAAAGCCAGCGGACACTGAGGTGACCTTGGTAGTTTTATAGTGTCGGTCATTTATGAGAGATGGCTGTAGTCAGAATTCAGTAATATGCACCTGCCTTATGTAGACAGATAGTATCTTTCACAGCTGTGAAGGCTTTGTCTCCACAATGTGGAACTTTAATTACTGTTGGAAAAATTTCTGCTATGTCATCAGTATAACTCGTGTTAAATTTGTAGCAGCGATGTAGAAAGGACTCAGGTAAGCATGCTGTCTTCTCTTAGCCTTTCTCTGTCTTGTGAAGACCTCCAACGGTAGGTGCTTGCTGCAGCACAGTGAGATTTCCCACAATGATGGTAATGTGGTACCATTACCATTACCACCCCTTTCATTATCAGTATCAAAGTGACTACCATTCAAAGGGTGGTACCATTTTTACATTAGCCTGTTTGAACCTTCAATATTTTTTCCCCAGCAACTTAGCTGGTGAAGCACACACTCACTGTACTTATTCTAAAATGACTTAGGGTGTGTGTGTTTCAAAGATGAGATCAGATGATGCTCTCAGTATATTGAGTATACTTTGACTCTTTATGAAGGCTGTGTTAGGTACAATTAGAGATATTATTTGTAAGTCTTGAAAAATCTTGTATCAGAAACTTGAGTCTCCTATAAATGGTGTAGTTTAGAATGTAGAGGGAAGTTTCTTAAGTCAATGAAGTAGGTGTAGCAACTCTGAAACTTTGCTTATGGTGGGAGATGCAGACCTTTTCCCTTGCTGAAAGCCAAATAAACCCTTCAAGCACCTTTGGCATGTCACACGTTAAAACAGATCCTAGAATTACCCAGTAGTCATGTGGAAACTTCATGTGGCCACAGGTCACGTTGACAAAAGACAACTGGCTCTCAGGCCATAGGCTTTTCACCCTTAGTTTATGGTGAAAGTATTTGGAAACAAGATGTTTATCTTTTGGTTCCTTTGAAGATAACATTCACAAATAGCTGTGATGTTTTTATTTCCCTATTATGAATATTATGTACTTAAATTATAACCAAGTTTGTAAGTGGTTGTTGTATGGTTTATAGCCTACCTACTTGGATTTGCACAATTGTTTCCATTTTAAAAGGCCTTTGCTGGCTGAAAATATTTGATGGTTCATGTTAACAGACTGAATGAAAATGTACTGAGAGCAGGCCTGGAAAGGTTATTCTCTTGCTATCATAAAAATATTCTAGCACTTCACATGATGTGATGCAGTCCTTAAGTGGGAAGTGTTACAGTTTTTTCAATATGGGTAGTTAGTCTCTAGATCAGAGGTGCTTTCTGATGTGGCCTATTTACGAGTCTTTTAAGATACTTCCCACATGTATGCTGTCTTTTTTTTCCCTCTTTCTTTATTTTAACGAACTGTCTGGAAAGACTCTGGCACCTCGTATACTTGCATGAAAAAGTTGAGTGAGACTTTGATTTTTGCCACAAAGGTGTGTGAGGATTATAACCAAGGTTTTAAGTCCTGTTGGGGATAGTTCAAGGGAGGAAATGCTGAGAAGGCTGGATGATGGGCTATTTATCCAGATCAGTAGCTCTTAGCAGAATTGCCAGTAGAATTCAAGTATTGTTTTCAATCCTGCTGGTTGCAGTTTTTGAACTGTACTGCTGTCACTAGTCCCTCAAGCTAGTATGTTTACTTAGTTTTAATCCTGAATAGTTTATATACCTGTCCCAGAAACTACACCCCTACAGAGTTATTTTTTTAATTTGATACTGGTTTTAGTACTCTAGATTGTTTCCTTTGGTTTGCGTTCGGTCTGCTTCCTCCTTGGTTCAGGGTTGATCTGGTGCCTGTTCTAATGATTAGATTTTATCATCCTATTTGTTCCCACGGCATCTTGCAGAACATCATCAAGGTCATTAGTCCAAGGGGCAAGTCTGTCTGTCTTCTAATTAAACCTGATGTCTTCTGTTGTGGTATAACAAGTTGAATGAAAGGCAGTGATGTGGCTAGGTTTTCTTTAGTACTCTGAACTGAAAAATGGCTGATCCTACGTTAGCTGTGACTTGCAGTATGCAAGTGGTATGGCACTTACCTATCCTCTGTTTCATACAGCTTCACGTGGTCTAGTTCTCTAGGGGCTCTCCATAAGGTCTTCTAAATAAAACAAGGCCAACAAGTCCCTTAAGGAAATGTTCTTCCGCTGCCTGTTTCAATTTGTTACTTGCATTGTTACCTTGGGTCCATGAGCTTTTAGAAAGAGACACGCTTATACGTGTTGTCTTCATGTAACCTTTGTCCAGAAAGAAAATTCATTAGAGTCATAAATAGGAGTTCATTCAGAGAGCTGCAATCTGCATGAAGTCAGGAGAGCACTGTAGAGTAGTTGTTTTGAGACTGCGCAGTCTCATCCTGAATGAAGCTGACAGCTTGCTGTGGTGTTGTTACAAAGACTTTTTCCTCTACATCAAACTCTTAAGACCATTGTTTTTGTGACCTTTTAAAATTTGATCAGCCTTTCATGCATAGCTTTATTTGAAAAAATGTCCTGTGTTGCTTATAAACAAGCTAACATAAAATAATTGCAGACTACTAGCATATTCTGGCCTGTTCTTTGAAGCTTATTTTGAGAGAGAGGGAGATATGTTTGGTGGATTGTAGAATTAACGTCTTTCTGGAAAGAGGGTACCTGTAGTCAAGATCTGAATGGCTGTTCTCTGAGCAATAGATGTGCATTTCGCTAGTTGCTCCAATTACATAGTAATTGTGAAAAATATCTAATTGCGTCCATAGTATGCAGGAAATGTTACCTAACTGTCTTGCTCTGTTTTGCTTGCACAGTAAACAAGCAAAACTTCTGCATTCTTTGGCAGTTTGCCTTGCAGGAAAACTAAGACTTGTATTTTCAATACATTTGCAAATAAGAGCTTTGGCACCAAACAGTTCTGCATTTGACTCAAACTCAGTATCTTATGAAGGGGACCCATACATCATTCTTTTTTCCCCTGGCATAAAAAGAGCATTACTGAGCACCTAATAATTTCTTACTAATAGGAACTTAAGTTGTGCCTTGATTTAATTATCTTCTGATTTACTAGGTTGCCCACTTGTTAATCTGTCCTCCATTTCTATGTATTTGTCTCCTTGATGTGCCTGCTCTCAGACTTTGGAGTCAGTTCTGGTAACATGTGGTATGTTAATACTGCGTGGTTCTAGACTGATTGTACTGAAACAACTGAGAATTTAGACCAAAATATTTATGATTAGTATATATGCAAACAGCATGAAAGTTCTGATTTTACTTGAAAATTTGAATTCCCTGGTACAAAGGAGACTTGAGAAACCTATTCCTAGGCTGCAAAAGACCTGTGTTTCAGTGAGTCAGTGACCTTGACACAGGCAGAAAGTAAATACCTCCCGAATGTGCACATTTCAGGTTGTCTTCTGCAATCCAGAATATAGAAGAAAATAGAAGCAGCAGAAAATACAAGTGTCTGGCTTATGATTTTAAAAAATGTTTTAGATTTCTTAATGTAAGGCTGGTGATCCCAGCAGTTAAACTGGAATGCCAGTTAAGTCTTTGCCTAGATAGAGTTTTCAGAAGTGTGACTTAAGTAACATTTAAATAAAGAAGGTTAGATCTTTCAGCTGTTAATATTTATTAGCTTTTTTGCTGCAACTAAAGCTTTAGCATTAATATCATGTTTTATTTATGTATTCTAGCCGAGTCGAGTTAAAAAGGCTATGTGAAATATTTACTCGCATGTTTGCTGACCCTCACAGCAAGGTAAGATCACAAAGACTTGGCTCACTCTTACATTACCATGTGTGCACATTTGACACTGTTCCAAGATGAATGTTCTGTATTTCTACCCCTGCCATCTGCCGGGGGAGACTGGCATTTATAAATCTCCTTGATTTTTATCTGTTTTACAATGAAGGGCTGTGTCTCAGTCTCTCTTATGTTGCTAGGAACTGGTTACTCTGTGCTTCCCAAGGAGCAACCTAATACCTTTCAGATGTCAGGTCCTGGAGTAAGAAGTTCAGTTTTATTTGTACATCTCTGGGGAGTGTCTTGGTGATACTCAGTACAGTGAGGTCTGTGAAGGGTAATGAGCCACAGTTCAGCATCATGGTCTCTGGGGTTTGTGTATTGTGTACACCTGGGAGCAGTATGGAGTCTCACCAAGATATTGTTCTGGATCTCATAAATAAATAAAGTCTTTAATATAGCCACTTTGCCTTCTTTATAACACTGACCTTTGAAGTTAAAGGCCGTGGCATGAATTTACAGACATCTCTTAAAAAGAAGCAGACTAGGGAATGGGGAGGTTGGGTCCACAGGCATGTTCAGACCACAGGCATGTGGTCTTCTGTCGACAGGTAAGCAGGAGCAGGGAGAGGGGAGAAGGGAGTTCTCATGCCCTTTCCTGAGGAGGTTTGCTGGTTGAGGGCAACCAGTAATGGCTGGGTAAAAACATCTGCTCTTGGGTTAAGTACAGTTTGAGAAAGAAGAAATTGTATAAATATTTGTACTTCAGACCACTTGGTAAACTAGTTTTAATAAATCATTGTCAGGTGGAAATCCTGTGGGCAGGCATAGTTGCTTGTCACAGGTCTTGCTTGAAGCGTGCGCTTTTGGCCGTAATTATAGTCTGGACCAGCTGTCCACAGGCCTCACCGAGTGTGGCAGTTCCTACCTGTAAGGTCTTAATGCTTTGGCTCTCAAAGGTTCAGTATGTGTTGTGGAAAGGGTGAAGGTGTAGCTATTTATTTGTAAAACATTTCCAATTTCTGAGTAATGTGAGGGTTTATTGAACACTGGACTCAAATATGTCCTCTGTGGCAGCAGTGGTCTGTCATCTGCACTGCTTTTATAGAATTATTGCTACAAACTCATTAATTGTGGTGTTAAACATATGTAAACTTTGTTATATATAAACATATGTTACTTTTGTGAGTGAGGAGACTGGATCTCACCCAAGGTATATAATGTTTTAAGTAACTCTGCTGAGAGGAGATTGTTTTAAGAAAATGTAAACTTTCAATGAATGCATCTTTTATCTGTTGACAAACTGCATCTGAACAACCAGCCTTGATCACTGTGTGCTAATGAGTGGTTTGTTTTGTTGCATGGCCTGCTTTGCTGTGGAATTCACAAAAGAGAGTAAGTGTATTCTACCCCCTTCCTTCATTCGTTTCATGTGGTATTTTAATATGACACGTTTGAGATGTGTCTTGTCTGATTTTTTTTTCAGAGCAATGTAGTCACTAAAATCATTCATTCATGAAACTGTCTATAACAAAATCATCCTGAAACTCAGATTGTAAACGCCTCCCCTTCGATTATTTTTATTTAAAGCATGGTATTCCTTTTCGTGATACTTGTTTTGTTTATAGGTCTTCAGCATGTTTCTGGAAACCCTGGTTGATTTCATCATCATTCATAAAGATGACTTGCAGGATTGGCTTTTTGTTCTCCTGACCCAGTTGCTAAAGAAAATGGGAGCAGATTTGCTGGGGTCTGTGCAGGCAAAAGTTCAAAAAGCTCTGGATGTCACCAGGTAGAGTACTCCAATGGCAAATGTTATGGAGGTTTTTGCAGGTTTACAGGAAGGCATTTGATGAACATTTTAGAAACCCAGCAGTGCTGTTTATTTTGAGGGCTCAATCTTGATCAATACCAGAATAAAGGAGAACAAAGTTATGTCACAGTATTTCAAGCATTGAATTAAAAAGGCCTGTCTCTTTTCTAAATAGATAACTTTAAAGCATAACATTTAAAATGTCTAACTGATTGATTTCATTAATTTGTGTGTTTTTGGTGTGCATATGCTTTGATATCAATTTTCTTTTTGATTGATGGAAAAAAGAATATTTTTAGTGTTCAGAATATGAATGGTGCTTTACCACAAAGTTCAGAGCATCTTTCATGTTGTTCAAACAGCAAATAATGGTAATGTCAGGATAAGACCTTGAATGCTGCTGCAATGTGCACACCAATTCTGTAGTCGATGTCCTTTTCTAAGGATGTCCAGCACAGGACACTGTTACAATAAAGTTCAGCTCATCCTGCAAGTAGGATAATTAAGAAAGAAGTAGTAGTAATCCAGGAGGAAACAGGATAGAGGATGGAAAAAGAGGAGAGAAATCAAAACCAGGTATGAACTCTCAGGACAAGATAAACCAGGCTGCTACTAGAGATAAGGGAACAAAGCACAGCCTGAAATGAAGAAGGAACGGACAGGTGGGCCAGAAGCCGGATAAGTATACAGCAAGCAGATAGCGTAACAGTGCATAAAGGTATTGACTTAGCAGTTTTCTCCAGTATTAAATCAACAGTCAGCTAATCCTTAGACTTGGAGTTTCTCTGGTTGATGGTAAAGTTAATAAGAAGAGAAGTGTGATAGGTGGTGAAATCTGTTGTGTAAGCTTTAATGTATTAATTTAGTCCTGAAAATTTGTTGCATTACTTTTTTGCCTTTGTTTTCTTTGGACAGGGATTCTTTTCCATTTGATCAGCAATTCAACATTTTGATGAGATTTATTGTAGATCAGACCCAAACGCCAAACCTGAAGGTCAGTATCAAAAGCCTTTTCACTAAAGCATAAACATGGTTGTCTTAGCTTGCCGTGTCAGGCATACCATAAAGCATAGAACTCATGATAAGATAACTAATTGTAAGTACCTGCATGATACAGAAATGATATCGGCAACTTTGGTTAACTCTCTTGTTCTCCATTTTAATAAATCTAAATATCTTTAAAATAGGGCCCTATGACTCATCACAAGTCCCTAAGAGTTGGGCTTTAAGCACGCTGCAATGTGCTTAAGGTTTAGACATGGAACATTCCTCTTCACCCTGGTCTTGGTCAGAAGAAAACCTGTCTGTGCAGGACGGAAGGGACCAGACCCTGTCTGAACGGCTGGGAAGCTGGGACCCTAAGCACACCTTAACAAGTGCTGCTTGCACAGATCACACGTAGCACATGTAGGGTCTGAAGGAAAAAACATCAGAACTTTCTATTACTGAATCCTCCCAAAGGGATACTGTTGTGCAGACTTTTTCAGGAGGCGGCTGTTTCAAGGTTATAGGAACACTGTAAACTCTGGAAGTCATACACATTTATTTTCCAGAGACAGGAATATACAGGATGCCAAATGACTCAAGTGTTCTTTCTTCAATATCCCAAATTTTGGATCTTTTGAGACTCCAGCATTTTGGTTTGAGACCAAAAGCTATGGTTTGGCATCTGGAACAATAACTGCTAGTGGAAACAGCGTGGTGGAGTACTGATTTGCTTATGCAAACGCCCAAGCAGACATATGTAACTCAAGCCAGTTCTGATAAACCATTCCAGACTCTTACCTCACAAAATTTATCCTGTGTAGAAAGTTGCTCTTGATTTTTGAAACATGACATAGAGACATGTCACAGGGATATTTTTTCCCCCATGTGACATAGGTCTTGTCAATCTGTAATGGTGTCTGTTTATTATGGGATAATCCATCTTTGCCAGCTCATAAGATTAACAAATCCCTTTTCACTTCGCAGGTGAAAGTTGCTATCCTGAAGTATATTGAGTCCTTGGCAAGACAGATGGATCCAACAGACTTTGTGAACTCCAGTGAGACAAGACTTGCTGTATCTAGAATTATAACTTGGACAACAGAACCAAAGAGCTCAGATGTGAGAAAGGTAAGCCAGAATGATGAAGTATTTGCGGTAATTATTGTTCTAAAAAAAACAACAAAAAATGGTCTTAAAGGAAATGGAAAATTCAGTGGTTAAATTCTAATTTTGAAAAATGGATTTTACATACCTTACTGTCCAAACCAAATTGTCAGTTCAGTAAAGACATTTCTGAAGCATGTCTTCATATATTTTTTTTCTAGTAGGTCCTTAGCCATGTGACTTTGACTACTATTACCATGCAAAAAGAGATCATATTTTGAAAATGTGGTTTTTTTCTTGAGCAGTCTGGAAATATCTCTAGGTTTTTGTTTATTTAGGTGAAGGCTCTGTGCTTTGTAGACTCAAATGAAATCTAGCATGACTTCTGTGTTGTTACATTGTTAAAAGAAAGTAAATAAATCAGTAAGCTGCCAGGGGCTCTCAGCTCTTTTAAGAGCTGTGTGTTTATCTCAAACTGACACATTTAGGTCAGGCCTGGGTAATACAGTTACCTTGTTCTTTATCTTGCTGTAGATGCAAGTGTCAGGCAAGCTAAAATGGGCAGATAGTGATACTCATCTCTCCCAAGAGAAAAGTGAGACGTAGTTTTATATACCTGGCATCTGTAACACAACTTAAAATTACCTTCTCTTCCCAGCCCAGATGTAAAAATAGATTCCAGTAGGAGTTTAAGGCTTTGAGATGTACTTGGATTAAAAAAAAAAAAAACATTAAGCATTTCAGAACGTAAAAATTGTATGAGATTTTGACGCTCTACATGTATTTAAAATGTTGAATTAGTACTAGAATAACATCTTTTATAACTTCGGAAATAAGAAAATTATTTTTGTTATTAGTGATTATTTGATTCTGATGAAAAGATCACTGGGTATCAAAGGTGCTGCAACTGCAGCATTTTCTGATAGCTGAGACAAGGCTTCAAAGAAGCTTTTTGGGTGCATGCTGTTTGCTTTTTCGCATACAGCTGATTTGATCTAGAGAACAATGTCTCATGCTCTTTTCTGAAGACGGGATTATTCACACCAGTGTGACTGAAATTTGCTTCTGCAAGACAGTCTGCCTCAGGAAAAAAGGGTGACTTTAAATCCTGGACTGAGATCTGGAATATGCATTTCCATTTTCATGCTTCCAGGTACAAAGTCAGAAAGAATTAAACAGCCAAAGAAGCTGCTCCTCTGTTACAGTACAAGTAAACCTCAAGCAGTTTACTCTGGTGGTGGTCTATGAGAGTGAATTGTAATTAATTTAAGTAGAAATATACACCAAAAAGCAAAACCTCTGCATATTGCTCAGCAGAAGAAATATTCCACCATTAGGGGTCATCATTGCTACATGCAAAATTGAGTGAAGAGTATCTGCAGCAGCTGAAAAAACTGGCTGTTTGCTGTGAAGCTGTAGGATGTGGAGGGCGGGTGTTCAGTGTGGTGTCCGTCCTTCTATCTGTTTCAAAGACTTGCAGAGCTCTGGCAAAACTTCCAGCAAACTCCACCTGAGCAGTACCTGGGCAAGTGCTTTGGGGGCTGATAAGAGATTACTGCATCTAAATTCTTTTTATTAAACCTGCATGTGACTTGGATTTGCCTCTGATGCCTATAGCTTTCAAATAAATTATTACACAGTTAAACTAACTTAGGCTACTAAAAATGAATGCCCAGGTGATCTTTATTTCATCATCCTGTTGCTGTACTATGATTTTCTTAAGAACATAATACAAACCATGGCCTTTAGAAGAAACACTGCAGCAAAGGATTTATAAGCAATCATTGGCCATTATCTCTGTCAGGACTGTAGTTAACGGACTAATAAATTCATTATGCAGTAATGAACTGGATTACCAAGGGCCAACCCAGACAGGTGAAATGTTCTGAAGAACACAATTAAAAAATTGTCCTCCTTTTTTGGACACTGCAACATGGGAAAAAAGTACCTATTTTATATCAAGTTATAAAAAAGGATCAGAAGATTCTGCCCTTGTGGAAGGTATTACAGTGGCCTTCAAGATCTGAGGTTTTCTAAGTGCAAAGCAGACCACGCATTGTAAACATTGTCACAACCTAAAAATGGAGACAGCAGTTGAGGTTATGGGGGAGAGGGAGATAATAAGGTAATTTTTCAATAGAATCGGATTTGAGACCACCAGTGCAATCCATTCAGCTTCTGCAAGCTGACAAGAGCAGACTTTATTTTTGGTACTGAGGAGTTTTGGCTGGCATAGTCCTGTCCACGTATACCACTGCAGCTGACTTGGTGAAACAGCGATGCTGGTGCTCAACTGCTTGCAGAGGCAGGGACTCTTTCCTCCAAGAAATGTAGTCCCACAGCCAATGTGGTTCTCACCCAGATTTGAGTTACTGCATGCTACCTTAATGCAAGTAGCATCTGTGTGTGTGATGGCCATGCTTTTCTGTCTGGACTTTACCTTTGAGCAGATGCAGGTAAAACAAGCTTGCTCATGCTGGTGGTGAAGTATGTAAATGGCCTCTGTCAGTGGGGAAAGCATGTGGCTGCTGTGTGCACATGGCAATTAGTCATGCAGATCTGATCCTATGGTAGCAATCAAGGGATCTGGATTATATTTTCAGTCAATAGTGGGATTATCCTTTTATTAGTGATCGTCTGTCCATTACTGCTATTCACTGTGTGATGGTCATGGAGGTCCCAGCCCTGTAGTGTTAAGGCACTGGAGAAAAATAGAACAAAAAATGGCATTTAGTCCAAAACCTTTTTCAAACTGAATGATAGAGCTTTATTAATAAACTTTGCATATTCTTATGATGACTAATTGAGCACACTTCACCTGTTACAGGTCATGTTTTACAGTAGTGAAATCAGAAAGAAACTTAGTCAAAGGAGATGCTGTTGTGCATAAAACAGTTTATGTTCTCGTATGGAATAATATCTGTAGCTAAACGTAAGTTCTGTTATCACAAGAAAAACATGATGTACTTAGAGGAACATACAGTTGATATTACAGAGCGTCATTGACAATGTCGTGATTCCCTCTCAGGGCAGAAACCATTTAAGATGCTGATAGTAGCCATGAACTTTGTACAGTCAAAATTATTGTCTAGCTTTGTTTATAATAAGGTGATCTGCAGTGTGTTACAGGTAAATATTTGTCTTGTTTTAAAGATTGTTAATACTTATGGGTGTTTACCCTGCATTCAAGTTAGGATTTACTTCCTGCAAGCAGTGCTAGAAGAAAGGTGAAAGACATTTGTCCTCTGTGCTGAACACAAGCCATTGGGTAGGAACAGGCCGCGCAGCACTGCGTGGAGACCTGGATGGGATGTGGTTCCAGTGCAAGGAGAGCACCTGTTTGTAATTTCCGCACATATAGCTGGCTTGCTGCTTTTTCTCCAAGCAGAACATATCGATGGGCAGGGCACAGATCAGGACTTCAGATAACTGAGCTCTAATTTTGATTGTACTAGCGTCTAACCTTGTGCGATGCACTTGACTTTCCTCTGCCTTGGCTTATTCCTCTCTGTAATAGGGCGTTTATTCTGATTTTTCTCTGGAAAACATTTAAGATTTGATGAAATCATTTTACAAAAGCCAGTTAATTACCATATAGAAAGGTAAGACAAAATGGCAATGCAAATACCGTGATGACTGGTCTGAGGACATTAAGTCAGTAACTTTACCATGTTATCACTCATATTGCCAGCAAAGTTATTGTGCAATCCTTACGTAGGTGAAATGCTTATTGAATTTGGATGACAGGCTTGGGCTCTGTGTGGGAAAATACTTTGATCTTGGAAAAGAGCCATCAGTTTGAGAATGAAAATTAGAATGAGGCTTCTGATTTGACTCTGGCCAAAGCCTAAGGAAACCTCATGTTCAAGGCTCAGGTGAATGGAAACTTTTATTAAACATGAGTGCTCAGCATTTGAGGGGGTGGAGTTGTCTGTGAGGGCACACAGGAGCTTGGCATTTAGGAGGAGCTTGTACAGGCTGAAGGGGAACAAGGCCTTCCAAGGTGAAAGGCCAATGACATTGCCCACCGTCTTGTTAATCAGCCAAGCTCTGGTCGTAACGATATATAACAAGATCTGTATTGCCTGATCATCATTTGGACGACTAATCTCAGGGAAGAAGAAATATTTCCTTTGTGCCAGATATCCTGCCTGGCTTCTCTGTTGACGAAATATTCCTGTGCTAGTTTTATTTTACAAGCCTGAATGCATTTTTACACGTGATGGGCAGCCTCATGTCACGGGTACATAATGTTCTGCCTTCCACTTATGTGACTGGGGAAACTTTTTCTTTCAACTGTCCCACTCGTTACCGAGTTTGGCCAAGCTGCCCTTGAATATAGACAGTAGATGGGACTTGGTAAGATACTCGAACCATTGCAATGAATCAAAAAGCCCAGGAGAGTGCTTGTGTTACTGTGATTTGCATTAAGATGAAGTCCCCCTCAGACTACCTAGGGGTGGGCCCTCCTTGGATTGGCGCCACTGGTTTGCAGGTGAAGTCTAGAGGTGTCCAAACAAAACAAGCTTGGGATCAGATTTTTTTTTCCTAAAATGGATTAATTGAGAAAATGTTTCTGAATTATACCAGAATATGAGGAAGATTTCAGAGAGAAGGTTGCAGGTCAACAAATTCTTCATATGCTCAAACAGCCAATGAAGATGTATTTACTTCTTTAACTGGTAGTCCTAGATGTCATTTTTCAAGAAATATTGATGTTGTCACTTTGATAAGGGAATTGTATCTATCAATAAAGCCCAGAGCAAGTTTGGATAAAATATTGCTGTGATGTCTGTAGGGGGACCAGTGGTAGACAGGAAAGCAAACACTGCTAAGGAAATGAAATTGGGCTCCTTTGCAGCTTGATGCCATGAGACCTCTAAAATCTCTCCTGGAGTTTTAATTTTTCAGCTAGCATCAGGCAGATTTGAGCAACTCTGGGACAGAAGCTTCACTGTAAAAAGCAGTCCCAAAGACTCTTAGTGAGCTGAAATGGCATCGTTCATCTTTATTGGTGTTGGGCA